ATACAAATTTTTCTGGACCTAATCAAAATGATAAATGTTAGTACCCTCACTACGGAAACAAAAATTTTGTTTTAATAAAAAGTGGCTTACTGGTGGAGGGTATTGAAGATTCGGCATAGTCGAATATAGGACTCTAACTTGTTTCCTTTATGGTTCATGTTTTGATTATTGATTTTTAAACTTTTGAAAAGAAATACAGTGTCGGACAAATCTAAATCTGCTTAAAAGAAAGCACAATAAAATAAACAAAATTGGTATTTCGTCATTCAAATTGTGTATATTAGGAAGAATATATTCTAGAAATTATAAAAACAATGAAAATATTGTTGTTCAAAGCAAAAAAAAAATGATTTTTAAATCTGAAATATACTAGAGTAACTTCTTCTAGATTGCACAGTGGGCAGAAGGGTAATTTTTTGGAAATAAATCTGGCATTTCTAAACGGCTGATCCGATCGGGATAAAATTTGGCGTGAGCGTAGCCAAGGAGTATTCGAGTTTAAGTTTTGAAGATGAACCCTGCAGATGCCCCAGGGACGGCGCTGTGGTGGCTCAAAGTAAGGTACCTACGACATGTAAAATTTTTAAACTCGTGCCATTTTTTCACCCAAATACAAAGCGCTCGACGAGATCTTGATAAAACATGCTTGGACATACTACTTATCTCTTATAATATCCGAGTTATAGGCATTTAAAAATTTAGTGATACAAAATTTACCATACCTTGGTCCGCCTTTTTTTGAATACCGGGCGTAATTTTGGACCAAATGGACTCAATTTTTTCTTGTTAGTTAGACAACAAAATCTCCAATAATATACAAAAAATTTCAGATCAATATCATTTACAGATCCAAAAATATACGTTTTTAAATTTAAAAATTCAAAAAAATATTAGATTTTTGCCGTTTTTTTTGCAAAAAATGTGTCTTAACTCTTTTATTAATAAAATAAAATTTTCTTTAAGAATATATACAATTTTATAGTTTTCTAAAAGGTATCTTTACGCAGAACGCTTTGGCGTAAAAAACTTGTCCTATTTTTTGAAAATGTTGCCACTGCGTCCTTCCGAATATGACCTATTTTTTATCAAAACTTCAACTTTGGGCGACATGTTCTAAAATCCCAAAGCTGGGATCAGAAAACTGAAAGCAGTTTTGGAAACCTCAATATGTTTTATATTTACTCCAAAAGTATTTTCCCAGCCCTGAAAGAAATGTGGACCCTATGGGCAAAAATGTAAAAAATCCCATTTTTGGGATTTTCATTCCTATTTTTGGGAATTGCGGGATGCCCTTTAACCTTTTCAATTTTTTGAAATGATAAATTTAACAAGCGTTGAAAATTTCATTGAGTTTTGTTCATAAATAAAGATTTTGTCTTATATTACATATTTGTTAAATTTCTAAAACTATGATTTATATCAAAATTTTAATAGGGTCGCAGATAGCTACAACAATTTAGTCCATATTTATCCCTTAATATAATTTTTTAGTTAGATATGGAAATTCTCGACCCTTTACAAAAAATTTCAAGCCAATATCTCAATTACATTCAAAAATATGTTCATTTAAACCTGTGTCCTTTAATTTCATCTTTTTCATATTCTAGTATTAAGTATGACAGAACATACATTTGGTGTTGAATAAAATATTTGGACAATTTTTAAAAATTATTTAGTTAATTATTTTATTAAAGACTGTAAAATTGTATATGCAATAAAAAAATTATAATTTTATTATGAGCCACGCACAACAACACCTAAATCACCCCACACAAACCACCTTTCCCGCCCACCGAAACATAAAACACAATTTAACACAATTTACACAGTTAGTATAATAGCTATTTTTATTTGAACTGTTTATCTTAAACATAATACAATTAATTCTTACAACCTACTTATATAGTTAATTCCTAACACTACTTATATTCTATAAAATAATCTGTCATATCGGTATACATATCCAGAAGGTAATATAAGTACTTTAAATCTTCCTTGTTTTGAGATGATAGAGTTTCATAACAAATCCATCTTTTTCGCATAGTTGAAAGAACAGGATCAAAAGATAGAAGTAAAATATTAAAAATATCTTCATTCTGTGATTGCCTGGAGCATTTTGTTGAGCTGAATAGTTGAACATGCTTAAAATCTCGCTTCCTGGGCTTCTTCTGTTAACTCTCCAAGTGGAAGAATATTCGATTCAATTATTATTTGAACATGACACAATACTTTGTGTACTGTTGGTGTTAGTTCCCTCCATGGGTACAGAGATACAAGTAATTTAGAAATTTCAGATATATATTCCCCAAATCGATTTCCATTAATTTTATGTTTACTATTCAGTGCCATTAAAATAGTGTTAACTCTTCGAAGTAACTCCTTGTCGATTCCAGTTATTTTTGAAGTAATTTCAAAATCACGAAAAAACCTTCTCGCCGTATTACCGTCATTTGTACTACCGCAACTTGGAAGTGGTTTGTCGATGTTTAATCCCATCTGAACTTTAAATTCTTCTTGGATTTCCGCAGCTCTCAGTTCTTTCAATTCTTCATTATTTTTTGTTGATTTAGTTAGATTCTCTGGCACACTTCTATATTTGAGGTCGTATGCTATGTGTAAAAAGTAATCCAAAAATCGTATTCTGGCATGAAGTGGTGAAATTCCGAAAGACAGGACTGCTTCATTAATACTTCTGCTTTTGTTTATATTTGAGAATTGCGACTTTTTCTCATTACATATTGAGCATCTCTAGAAGGAAGAAGTTTCTGTTATGGCATTGCCGACCTTTCCATCAATCATTGTTAAGCTTAGCTGATATGATACGTTAATAGAGAATTCCTTTATTTTTATGCAAATGGGCTCCATTGCATTTATTTCATCTTTAAATATTCCACTATATCTTTTGTTGTTTTCTTTGACTCCTTTATATATTCAAATCCAATGGGTCTACAAAAATTTTTTGAACCCGGAGTTGTATTGATCCATATATCTTCAAATGAATTTCCGATGCTTGACGATGATGGATTAAGGGAATATGAACGAATTCGTAATGGCACTAATGATGACATAAATACACTTTTGTAGTCTGCTAATGTCCGACTTCCACAAGCTTGTTTGTATTCTGGAAGTGCTGATAAACCGTCACATCCCCACTTACATATTAAGACAACATCACAGTTATGAATTTTCCTTAGTTGGTCTTCTGAAAAGTCTGACACAATTCTTGATGCTGTGTTTTCGAGCAAAGATGATATATCAATACAAGCTTCCACATCATTAACTTTAATGTAATCTTCATTTTAGATTTATTAAATATGGTACTTAAAATAGTCTTTAATAAAATAATTAACTAAATAATTTTTAAAAATTGTCCAAATATTTCATTCAAAACCAAATATATGTTCTGTCATACTTAATATTAAAATATGAAAAGATGAAATTAAAGGACACAGGTTTAAATGAACATATTTTTGAATGTAATTGAGATATTGGCTTGAAATTTTTTGTAAAGGGTCGAGAATTTCCATATCTAACTAAAAAATGATATTAAGGGATAAATATGGACTAAATTGTTGTAGCTATCTGCGACCCTATTAAAATTTTGATATAAATCATAGTTTTAGAAATTAAACAAATATGTAATATAAGACAAAATCTTTATTTATGAATAAAACTCAATGAAATTTTCAACGCTTGTTAAATTTGTCATTTCAAATAAGAAAATGCAAAAAAAAAAAAAAATTGAAAAGGTCAAAGGGCATGCCGCAATTCCCAATAATAGGAAAGAAAATCCCAAAAATGGGATTTTTTACATTTTTGCCCATAGGGTCCACATTTCTTTCAGGGCTGGGAAAATACTTTTGGAGTAAATATAAAACATATTGAGGTTTCCAAAACTGCTTTCATTTTTCTGATCCCAGCTTTGGGATTTTAGAACATGTCGCCCAAAGTTGAAGTTTTGATAAAAAATAGGTCATATTCGGAAGGACGCAGTGGCAACATTTTCAAAAAATAGGACCAGTTTTTTACGCCAAAGCGTTCTGCGTAAAGATACCTTTTAGAAAACTATAAAATTGTTATATGTTCTTAAAGAAAATTTTATTTTATTAATAAAAGAGTTAAGACACATTTTTGGCAAAAAAAAACGCCAAAAATCTAAAATTTTTTGAATTTTTAAATTAAAAAACGTATATTTTTGGATCTGTAAATGATATTGATCTGAAATTTTTTGTATATTATTAGAAATTTTGTTGTCTAACTAACAAGAAAAAATTGAGTCCATTTGGTCCAAAATTACGCCCGGTATTCAAAAAAAGGCGGACCAAGGTATGGTAAATTTTGTATCACTAAATTTTTAAATGCCTATAACTCGGATATTATAAGAGATAAGTAGTATGTCCAAGCATGTTTTATCAAGATCTCGTCGAGCGCTTTCACAAAATATAAAATTTTGTATTTGGGTGAAAAACAAAAAAATGGCACGAGTTTAAAAATTTTACATGTCGTAGGTACCCTACTTTGAGCCGCCACAGCGCCGTCCCTGGGGCATCTGCAGCGTTCATCTTCAAAACTTAAACTCGAATACTCCTTGGCTACGCTCACGCCAAATTTTATCCCGATCGGATTAGCCGTTTAGAAATGCCAGATTTATTTCCAAAAAATGTCCATTCTGCCCCACTGTGGATTGGTAGAGCGGGGGGAAAACAATGGAGCAATCTAAAAGAAGTTTTCTGATAATTATAATAACTCTCGTCCGAGTTATTATAATTATTGGCGGTTGCGGGGAAAAAAGAAAAGAAAGATAGCGGGGAATTAATAAATAATAATTCTTTTCTTTTAAGAGAGGGGAATGAGGGATAATTACCTTTTGTTCTGCCGGGCTAAATGAAGTAGAGTTTAAGTGGAGTTGGTTTTTTTTTGTATTTTATTTTATTTTGTTCACAGCACTGAGAGATTAAAGAGCGGGAGAGTATTTTTATGTTTTCACAACGACTGATGAATTACAAGTGACTGTTTTATTTTTAGATTACCACAAAGGAAGCTTAAGATCTATACAAAAATGGCAATTCAGCTAACAATTACAACAATTTGACAATTCAATTGTACCGAATACTAATTACTAATTACAAGATTACTTTACAATGTTAAGATAATACAGTTCATTTAATAATTCATAATAATTCAATTTATCTTAAATGCAAATAATCTTCTAGTAAAAACAATTAATATAAAAATTCAAATTAAAATAAAATTCATTTAGTAATAAAAAAAAAAAATAAAAAATATTGTCCAACTTTGGACATGCCGCCGGCCTTGGCTTTAGGCAACAGATGGCCCGTTATTAGTGGCACAAAGTACGTTGGCCAATGATTTAATGGCCTCGAGAATGATTTGTTGATTGGGTGCTGTGAGCGTGGCGGACTGGGTTGGTGATGGATGTTGAATGATAGGTTGGGTAGTTGGTGTATGTGGTGTGATAGTTTGGACCTGGTTCAGCTGAGAACGTTGAATGGTTGAGGGCTGGGTTTGTCTTTGCGGCTTGGGCCGAGGATGACGTCGTTGTGTGGTTTGGCTGCCGACGGTGACACGAATGTTTGGTGGATGTAACATCGTGTGATGGAACCTATGGCATCTTCGGCAGCTTGCCATAGAGGTGCAAGACCGCACTACGTGGCTTTTAGCCAAACAGTTCACGCAATAGCGGTGTCTCGTGACCACTTCTATCCTCCGGATGACGGTCATGCTGAGGAATTTTGGACAAAAACGTATGGCATGGAACCTCATACAGAGCACACACTGGTATAGGTCAGGATCCAATCTGTTTTGATGATGACTGGTGCGGTTTCGGTGATCTTGTCGGTTGCGACTTTCGCTTGGACGTCGGGAAGCGGACCTGCGGTGATTGCTGCGGCTTTGGCTGCTACGTTCGCTTGGCCGGTTGGTAGCATCGCTACGGTATTCCTCTTGGCTGGGGTCCTCTCTTGGCCGGGTTGCGGTAAGTCTTCGGTTGGATCTAGGTGGGGATAAACAAAGTGTAAGTAACTGACAAAACAAATGAAGGTGGATTAGTGCTGGGAAAATTAGGGATTGTTAAGTGTGAAAGTGTAAAAATGAGAAGTGTTAAATGAGAGATTAGTGTGAAAGGTGTTAGAGTAATTAAAATATATAAAAAGGTATTGCTACAGGAGATATTATTTATGATATTATTTATATTGGATTAGAATTTTAATCTAAGTTAAAATTCTAATCATGATTTTCGCTTAAAAATGGTAGGTAACATAATTTGACGATGGGCCGAGTAATGATTCCTGAGCTTATTCTTACTTCGGCAATGCGTACATTATTATCTGAACCAAAGTAAGTTTTTTCGATTCTTCCTAGACGCCATTCGTAAGGCGGCTGAAGATCGTCCATTACAAGGACGAGATCTCCGATTTTAAGATTTGTAGTAGAGTTTTTCCACTTATAGCGTTTGTGTAAAGTTTTAAGATAATCATTTTTCCAGCGTATTGAGAATTGATGATGCATAGCTTTTAATTTTTCCCACCTATTAATAAGAGATATATTTTGATAATCTTGTTCTGGGAGAGCCATTATCGGGGCTCCTCTTAGGAAATGTCCTGGGGTTAGAGCAGTTAGATCTGAAGGGTCTTCAGATAAAGCTGAGATTGGGCGAGAGTTTAGTACGCCTTCAATTCGAGTTATAATTGTTGAGAATTCTTCAAATGTGAATTTTTGAGCACCAGTAATTCGTTTTAAATGAAATTTGAAACTTTTTACGGCGGCTTCCCATAAGCCGCCCATATGAGGAGCGTGTGGGGGAATAAATTTCCACTCAAAGCCGTGTGTCAAGTACTTTTGAGCTATATCTTGAGATGCGTTTTTTATAAAGGAGGAAAATTCTCGTAAAAGTTCTCTACTAGCCCCTACAAAGTTTCTACCGTTATCAGATACTACCCTTTGGGGTAGTCCTCGCCTCCCAACGAAACGAGAAAATGCTGCTTGAAATGCCGCTGAAGACAGATCAGAGCATACTTCTAAGTGAACAGCTTTCGTACTAAAGCAAACGAATACGCTTACGTACCCTTTGACAAAAGTAGATTTTCGTAAAGCTGACGCTTTGAGCTCAAAAGGTCCAGCAAAGTCTATGCCAGTTATTTGAAAAGGTAGCGACAAATTACATCTGGTAGGGGGTAGAGGAGCCATTATTTGAGAACAGGGTTGCTGTTTGTAAATTATACCAGTTTTACAGTTTCGTATTATATTTTTTACACGAGGCTTGAGTCTGAATACATAAAATTCAGTTTGTACCATTCGGCACATTTGACCACATTCGGCATGGGATAAGAATTCGTGTAAATATTTGAGATAAAGTTTACAAAAATGTGAATTACCGGGTAAAATTATAGGATAGCGTTCGCTATAGGGAAGTGATGATTGCGATAATCTTCCATTTACTCGTAAAATTGAGTTCGAGTCTATAAATGGATTAAGGGATTTTAGCGAACTTTTATTGGGTAATGTTTGAGATTTTAAGCAACATTCGTATTCTTCGAAATAGAATGTTTTTTGAGCGAGTATTATGAGTCTATTTTTTCAAAAATTTCATTTCATCTTGAGTTAAAGATAATTGAGTAGCGGAATTAACTTTTTACATTTGTTAATAAATCGAAAAACATAGCAGATAATACGTAAGGCTTTGCTATACGACGAGAATCTTTCAAGAATATCTGTTTTTTGGGTTTCTGAATGCATTGATACTATTTTCTTTGGACATTCAGGGTTTTTTAAAGGATTTCTGTTAGGCCACTCAGACGATGGTTTAGTTAGCCACGATGGTCCATGTCACCAAAGTGAATTGTGAACAAGGTCTTGAGGTTTACAACCTCGAGTTCCCAAGTCTGCTGGATTATCATGCGTTGGGACATGTTTCCATATGGCGTTTGGCGTTAAACGATGAATTTCTGCAATACGATTTGCAACATATGTTTCCCACGTAGATGGGTGTTTAGAGAGCCAACCTAACACAATGGATGAATCAGTCCAAAGAAAGATTTCGTTAGTATTAAAATTTAATGAAGAAATTACGTAATTTACCAATTTTGATAGCAAAACTGCACCATTTAGTTCCAGTCTTGGTAGACAAACAGTTTGAATTGGTGCCACTTTACTTTTTGCTACAAGTAAATTTACGAAAGTGTTATAAGTTTTCGTTTTACATCGAATAAACACTGTAGCACAATACGTAGTTTTAGACGCATCTGAGAATCCGTGGATTTGAATATCGTCAGATGGCGTATACTGTAACCAGCGTGGAATGGAAATTGTTTCTATATGAGATAAATCTCGAACTAGATTATTTCACTTTTGAAGAGATTCAGATGAAACATCTTCATCCCATTCTAACCACAGCTGCTGCATCAGCATTTTTGCTCTGATGACGATTGGTGCAAGCCATCCAGCTGGATCAAAAAGTTTTGCAACTGAAGATAAAATTTGACGTTTTGTTATTCTTTGAGATTCATCGATGGGTGAAAAAACTATAAGAAAATGTATCAGTGATTGCATTCCACTTGATGCCAAGTGTTTTAGTAGAACTTGCTTCGTGAAAACGTAAGAAGTCTAAATCATAAAGATCTTCTTTGGGCAAATGAGCAAGTAATTGCGGATTAGCAGTAATTTTCTTTAATGGGAAACCTGCTGAGTTTAATGTTTCAATAAGTTGAGTTTGAGCAGAACGAGTTTCTTCAATTGAATAATCTGTTGCGAGTTGAAGAAGTGTCCGAATCGCGAGATAGGGAGCACAATTTATGCCAAAAGTGACGGTTTTGAGCTGATAATCTTTAACTGGTTCATCTGACTCAGTTTGAAATAAAATTCTTTGAAAAGATCTATCAGCAGGGTGCACAAGTATTTGGCGATACATTTTTTGTATGTCGCCACTAAATACATATTGGTATTTTCTCCAATTGAGAATAATCGTAATTAAATCATTTTGTAGAGTGGGACCTGTGTATAACACATCATTGAGCGAGAATTTAGATTTTGATTTTCTTGATGCGTTAAATACGACTCTTAATTTGGTCGTTTTGTGTTCTGGGCGAACAACTGCGTGGTGCGGTAAGTAAAAAGAATAATATTTATCTTGGGATACAATTTCACTGGAAGAAGTTTCTTCCATGTGATCTAGAGTTATATAATCGTTCAGAACTGCTTTATATTGAGCTTGAAGTTCTGGATCTTTTGCGAGTGTTTTCTCCATTCTGGAGTATTGAGCTAATGCAATGTATCGGGATGAGCCAAGGGAAACTTTGTCGGGAAATTCTGATCTGAATGGTAGTCGAACGACGTATCTACCATTCTCATGACGAGTTGTAGTTTGTGTATAAAACTTTTCGCAAATTTCATGTTCAATGGTGACTGGATGAGAAGTAGGAATTTCTTCCTGTTCCCAAAACATTTTTAATGTATTATTTAAATCTGAAGTTTCACATTGTGTGACCGATGTGGTAAAAGTTTGAATAGTTTGGGTTTTAATGGGACCACTAAGCACCCAACCAAAAACAGTGTGATAAGCTGAAGTTTGACCACATACATTCTTTTTAATACCTTCTAAATTAAGAAATTGTTCATAATCATTTCCTATAATAAGATCAATTTGAGCAGATTTATTGAAAGTTGGATCTGCTAGATCTAATTCAGAAAGCTCAGGCGAATCAGGTATTTCAAAAGAATATGTTGGAAGCCATTTAGTGACTTTGGGCATTACCATAGCTTTAACTGGAATTCTTAAATTGTGTCTTTTTGCGTATAATACGAATTCACATTCTTTGTTAGCTATTTGTTTTTGGCCGCCAATACCAATAATTTCAAAATAAGAATTTTGATAAGGTAATTGAAGACGATTACGAACTTTTTCTGTTAAAAATGTTCGTTGAGAACCAGGGTCTATTAGAGCCCTAACAGTAAAAAGTTGACCTTGATGATCAATTTGTACTAATGCAGTACGCAACAGAATATTTTCATTATTCATTGAACAATTAGCTTGAATTTGATTTGAGCATGTTGGGAAATCATTTTGAGGTGTAATTTTTTCAGTTTGGGCAGAATTCGACAAAGTTTTATAAGTTATATTTTTATTTTCTTTTGGATCTTGATTTTTTTGCGAGTGTTCTGGGATTTGAGCGGGATTTTGTAACTTTGGTCTCATATGAAGCAAAGTATGATGATTTTTTTTACAATGGAGACAAGTTTTTTTATTTTTGCAATTTAGTATAAAATGAGATGAACTCAAACAATTATTACAATTTTTTTTTTAAACACGTAATCCACTCTTTGTTGTACCGTAAAGGTTCTAAATTTGGGACATGTTCTTAGCAAGTGAATTTCATTACAGAGTTTACATTCGGGATCATAGAGATTTTCTTGAGATGTATATGTTTGTATTTTGGTTTCAGGTGCATTTGTTAAAGTAAAACAACTTTTTGAAGTTTTTATGCTATTGATGCGTTCTACTGCTTCATATCTGTCAACAAGGAATTGTGACATTTGAGACCACTTGGGAAGTTCTCGAGGGGAAGTTAAAGACTGTTCCCAAAGCGAAAGAGTAAAATCTGGCAATTTTGTTGAAATTAGGCGAATTAAAATAGGGTCCCAACTTTCAACTTCTACCCCGAGAGTTCTTAAAGTTGCTAGCGAATCATTAACTGAAGATTGTATTCTTCTAATTGATTCGCTGTTTTCAGCGGTTGCTGGCGGAATATTAAAAAGGAGTTTTATTTGGTTATCAACCAGAACACGTTTGTTTTCATAGCGGGTTTTCAAAGCATTCCACGCTAATTCAAAATTTTCATGAGATAAGGGATATCTCTTTACAATGTCACCAGCTTCCCCTCGTGTTTTATTTCGAAGGTGGTATAATTTTGTGACAGGAGACAGTTTTGAGTGATTTATATATACGGCCGTGAACATGTCACGAAACGATGGCCATTGTTCGTAACTGCCTTTAAATATTTCTGTATCGCAAGGGGGAAGTTTTATACAGTTACTTGAGTTATCTGGCGCAAAATTTTGAGTGAGTGGTTGGTTTGGGATTGAGTATCGGGCTGCTGCCTCGAACCCTGCTACATTAGAACTATCTAGTCTAGTAGCTTTTATTAAATCAAGAATTTGAGATGTACATAAGTAATATGCGTCTACACACGCATTAAAATTAGTTTTCGCTTCTTCTTTAAATTCGGGTTTTATAGAGTTATCAGAAGCTAACATGACTCCTTCATAAGAAGTTTCGACTTTAACCCATCTTGCGTCCAAATCTTTTAATTTTACTTCAAGAACAGATTCAGATTGTTCTTCAATAGGCGTTCTATTGAATCTGTCACAAAATTGGAGAAGATGGTCGCAGTCGAATACAAAGCGCTCTTTTGGAGCTGAAGTAGACTTTGTATTTGATGTAGAAGTCATATTGAAATGAGTTTAATATAGATTTAAGCTTATTTTAGCTTTAAAGCGTAGTGATTGAAATTTAATTTCTTTGTAATAGCGGTAAATTAGGGTATAAGCTATTAAAAGCTGAGTTATGAAACGAGAATAAAAATTTTCTTCAAAATTTTATTCTTTTTCGTAAAAACGGATATAATAAAAGTGGATAATTGCAACTTTTTGTAAAAATGTTTTTATTAAAAGGGCTGGTATTTGGTGAAAGCGGATAAAATATAAAGTAAACCAAACGAGAATTAGGTATTTATTAAAAATTTTTTATCGTTCTTCTTTATTCACTTTACTGAGAAGCGGTTATTAAAATAGTAATATGAACATAAAGAAGTAGTATCGATAGCGGCGAATTGAAATTTAATTTCAAATTTTAATAACTTTTCTTTATTCACTTTACTGAAAAGGCGGTTATCTAATAAAATAGTAATATGAACATAAAGAAAAAGTTTTAATTTAAAATTTCACTTAATCAATTATTCGTATTTCTTTATACTCTGGGTAAAGGGGCTATAGCGTTATAGCACTAGATACCAATTATCTCGTTAAAAATTGAGTATACGAATAGAATAATTTACGAAGTGATAAAAAATTTAAAAAAAAATGTAATTTTGGGCAAAATTGTCTAATTTGTATTATTCTCGGTGGTTTGTTTATATGCGATTATTAGAGAAAAACTAGAGCTGATATCTAGCTAAAGGTGAATCAAATCGCGGAAATAAAAAACTAAATTTAGAGCAAATTAGTTTTTATAATTTTCAACCAAATTTATCTTTCGATCATTAAAGAAGGGCTATAACTAGAGCTGATATCTAGTTAAAATGGTAAATAAAATCGCGGAATAAAATTTAAATTTAGAGCCAAAAAATCCTATAACTAGAGCTGATATCTAGTTAAAAAGGGTAATTCAAATCGCAGAAATAAAAAAAAAAATTAAAATTTTAGAGCAAATTAAGTTTTTGTATTTCAAACAAGGTTATTTGTATTTCAATATTCTCTTTATATTTAATGGGGCTATTGATTTATAACACTAGATAAGTTATATCTAGTTAATTTCTTAGCAGTCGTTGAGAATAACGAAACAAATTTCAAGAAAAAGAGTTTTCACACAAATTTAAAAAAAAATTATTCGATATTCTTTTATTCTCTTTATCTTTTTATATCTCAGAACTAGATAACTAGTTAAACTTTAGCATTATTTGAGAATAAAGATATTCGAATTGAGCTGTAAACAAAATTTAAATATTAAGATATAGAGATGGGATATGTATAATATAGTATAATTTTAAAATTGTAAAATTTTTCAAATTTTATAAATGTGCACGTTTAAAAGTGTATTTATTCGCTTGTAAATTGTTACTATGTGCTATTGCGCTTTATATAGGGGATTTAATTTTTCAAAAAACGTTAAATAAATAGTAAGGCATTATTGAATTGAAATTATTTAAATTTATTTAAATCAGTAAAAAAAAATTACTAATTGCGTTAAAAAATTTTGTAAAAATTAAAAATGAAATTTATTTCATTAAAAAATTATTTTGTTTATAATTTTTCCCGATAAATTAAAAAAGCACTATGGTAACACTTGATTGTGTCGGATTACTGAAAAAGCACGATGGTAACCCTTATTGAGAATGAGCGAGAATGTATATGAAAAAAAATATAAGTGATGACAACACGACCACTATTAAGCGATTTTTTTTCCGAATACACTTTTACACTTGCACTTTTTATTTAATATTTTTGAGTTGAGTAATTATTTTGATTTAGTAAAATATTTTGATTTGGGATAATTTAATGAGATTAAAATAATAACAAATTTATTTTTCTGCTTTTAATAATTTTGGAAAAATTTTATTTCAATTTATTATTTTTTATTTTAAGTTTTGTTTTTTAGCGAGTAGTAAACTTTTTTTTTTTTAAATAATAACTTTGTGTTGTTAATATTGTTTTTATTTTTATTGTTCTTTATTTAAGTTGTTGTTGCTTATAATTCTTTGCAGTGGACTGTATGTAATTTTATTTCAGTTTAAGCAACAACAAAAATATTTAAATGATGAGAACAACACAAAGAATTCTTATTTATTTACACTCGAGAAAAATATCAGCACAAGTTATCACAATTTTTAATATTAATAAAAATTTAACTGTGATTGAATTTTTCTTTAAGTATCACTTGAGTAAATAAAGTAATTTATTTGAGAAAATAAATTACTTTTATTTAAGCAGAAAAATAAATTTATTTTATTATTGCACTTTAATATTTTTTCTTTCTTCGTAATATTTTCTTTTAATTATTAGGAGCACACTTAATTTTTCTTTGGGTGTAATATTTTTCGTTTTAATTTATGTATTTTCCTTCATGTGAGAAACACTTGTATAAAAAACCATACAACAAATATATTTTAAATTTTGCTTTCTTCTCGTTTGTTTATTTCTTTTGGACCAATATTTTTACACAAACATTTTAACGGGATAATTACATGAGATTTGTAATAGGTATGGATTAGTAATATGTATATATGCAAACATGTATTGGGTAGGGGAAAAATTTTTTTTGCGGTAATTATGTGCACTTATATATAATTTTTTTTAATTTAATTTTTATTAAAAAAAATTAAAATAAAATACCGATTTTACTTATTTAAAAAAATATGGCGTCACAATTTTTTCTCAATATGGCGTTATTTATTAAACTTTTTTTTTTTGGTATATAAGAAAAACCGCAAATTTTTATTTATTTCAAATAAATATGGCGACACAAGTTTTTATATAACAAAATTGCGCTTTTTAGTATATAGGGCACCGCTATTTTTTAATTTTATACACTTATGTAAAATGCGCTTTTTTCAATTTTAAAATACGTATATAGGGAACCGCTATTCTTTATGTAAAAATTTGCGCTTTTTTTTAATTTTAAATATATAGGGAACCGTAATTTTTTATATGGCGACACGAATTATTTCACTTTTTATATAATTTTATATATGTATTTATATATTTTTTTTGCACTTTTCTAAGCAAAATAATTTTTCACTTTGCTAATTATTTATTTGTAACACATTTACATATATACATAAATAAAATTTTTTTTATAGGGATTTTTTTTTGCAATTTTTGGAAATTTTTAGCACTTGTTGTATGTTTTTTTTTTTACTTTAATTTTTTTTTTTGGAGAGCTATGTATATTTTGTTTTAATACTTTTTATGAGCGAGATGATTTTAAGGGTTGTTTTTTGAATTTTAAATATTCTCTTTTCTTGCACTTTAATAAAGAGAGATATATGATGTTTTTTTTATGTGATTTTTGTGATTTTTTTTGATGAGTGTATGTATGTGTGCGCAAGTGGGAATTTTGTGTAAAAAAAAGAGATTTTTACTTACGTTTTGTCCGGCTTTTAAAACTGATGAGCATGTAGTTTACCTCATTCTTGCGGTGATTTTCGTAGAGAAATTTGTTGGTATTTTGTTGGTTTCAATTTTCAGCGGTTCGAAGTGACCATGAAATAAACTAGAGTAACTTCTTCTAGATTGGTAGAGCGGGGGAAAAACAATGGAGCAATCTAAAAGAAGTTTTCTGATAATTATAATAACTCTCGTCCGAGTTATTATAATTATTGGCGGTTGCGGAGAAAAAAGAAAAGAAAGATAGCGGGGAATTAATAAATAATAATTCTTTTCTTTTAAGAGAGGGGAATGAGGGATAATTACCTTTTGTTCTGCCGGGCTAAATGAAGTAGAGTTTAAGTGGAGTTGGTTTTTTTTTGTATTTTATTTTATTTTGTTCACAGCACTGAGAGATTAAAGAGCGGGAGAGTATTTTTATGTTTTCACAACGACTGATGAATTACAAGTGACTGTTTTATTTTTAGATTACCACAAAGGAAGCTTAAGATCTATACAAAAATGGCAATTCAGCTAACAATTACAACAATTTGACAATTCAATTGTACCGAATACCGAATACAAGATTACTTTACAATGTTAAGATAATACAGTTCATTTAATAATTCAATTTATCTTAAATGCAAATAATCTTCTAGTAAAAACAATTAATATAAAAATTCAAATTAAAATAAAATTCATTTAATAATAAAAAAAAAATAAAAAATATTGTCCAACTTTGGACAAAATCTATTTCCGAGAATATGTACCTTTTTATGGGGACTATGAGAAATTTTGAATCAATTGTTTTGAGTTTAAACATTTTTGATCCCTGGGTAAAGAAAATAAGGTGTGACAAAATTCATTCCATTATCTTTAGTAGTTTCTAAGAAAACTACTCAAGAATTAGGAAAAGAAAACTTATTTTTTTCGAGGTAGTCTGAAATTTTTACTCATTACTTTTTAGGTTGTGGACCGATTTGGCTGATTTTCAATACCAATTTGCTTAGGACAATAGAGAATATTTTCAGTGAATTTGGACGATTTCTTTTGCTTAGTTTTAACGTGAGAGGCAGACAGACGGACACAGCTACATCGGCTCAGAATTTCATAAGGATCCAGAATATATATACTTGGTTGGGTTTCAGATGAATATTTCTTGGTGTTACACACGGAATATACCATATATACCCTCTATCACCACTGATGGTGGTGGAGGGTATAACTAGTCAACTCAATGATATTTTTAATTGAAATTGGCTTTAAGTCTAAAACAAACTTAATAAAAATAATTATCAATTTTTTTCTAATTACTTAAAAAATTTGATAATCGAACCAACAAATTAATTTATCGAAAAATAAGTAAAAAATTCAACAAAAACTTTTATTGTTTTGATAAAAAAGTTTGTTGGGAAGTAAAAAATTGACTGAGTAGTATTTTAGTTGATTTGATTATTTTTTATCGATTGTAAAACACCAAAACAAAACGAACAAATAGGAAACTATAGTCGGGCATGGCCGACCATATAATACCCTACACCGTGAGTATATTTTAAAAATTTTTATTTTTCATACAGAAACTTTTATGTTGAATTTTACCTTAATTCCAAAGTATCTAAACAATTTATTGATAAAAAACTAATTTTCTAAATGAGGCTTTATATAGGAGTATAGGTCAAACATGGGCCGATCCTCATTAAATTTGGGAAAAGGATATATTTTTAAATAATAGTTAGTTATTTGGTACAAGTATTGCTCTCACATACAGAAATATTACTGTGAAATTTTTTTTTCCATCGGTCCATAATTGGTCATAGCTCCCATACAAGGTCCCCTCCCGAAAATCACTTAAACGCGCATAACTCATTACTAATTTAAGATATCCATATAAAATTTGGTATAAGTATTGCTCATACGCAAAGAAATTTTACTGTGAAAGTTTTTTCTAATCGGTCCATAATTGGTCATAGCTCCCATACAATGTCCCCTCCCGAAAATCACTTAAACGCGCATAACTCACTACTAAATTAAGATATCCATATAAAATTTGGTAAAAGTATTACACATATGCACAGAAATATTACTGTGAAATTTTTCTCCGAGCGGTCCATAATTGGTCATAGCTCCCATACAAGGTTCCCTCCCGAAAATCACTTAAACGCACATAACTCATTACAAAATATTGATATCCATATATTTAGCAAAAATGTTGCTCTTATATACATAAATTAAACTATAAAATTGTTTTACGATCGGTCCATATTTGGTCATAGCTTTCATACTAGGTCCCCTCCAGAAAATCGCTTAAATGCACAATATTCATTACCAAATAATGATATAGATACAGAATTTTGAAATTTTGTCTTTATATACATAATTGGTCATAGCTCCCATACAAGGTCCTTTTACGAAAATCTCTTAAACGCACATTACTCATTACCAAATAAAGCTATTGATAAAACATTTGTATACAAAAATTCTATTTCATGATTTTTTCACGATCGGTTCATAACATGGGTGCGGTCGGTCCCATACAAGGTTCCCTTCAGAAGATCACTTAAACACACATTACTTATTACTAAATTACGATATAGATACAAAATTTGACTGAAATATAGCTTTTATGAACAGAAATTTTACTTAAAGAATTTTTTACGATCGGTCTATAATTGGTCATATCTCCCATACTATGTCCTGCCCCTAAAAGCGCTTTATCCGTATTTAACTAGTTGCATTATCAATTTGTGTAGAACAAAATTATATATATTTATTTTGAAAATCCTTAAATCTTTTACACAGATATACATGCAAATTACTAAATATCGCTTTTATGAACAGAAATTTCACTTAAAGAATTTTTTACGATCGGTCTATAATTGGTCATATCTCCCATACTATGTCCTGCCCCTAAAAGCGCTTTATCCGTATTTAACTAGTTGCATTATCAATTTGTGTAGAACAAAATTATATATATTTATTTTGAAAATCCTTAAATCTTTTACACAGATATACATGCAAATTACTAAATATCGCTAAACGCTATAAAAATATGAAGAAAATGGCGTTTGTAATGTTCAATAAATCATGGAATTGTAATAGATTTAAGCTGTTTAAATCTTTGTATTTTTTCTATTCAAGACATGAGAAAACTTATTTCTACAAATATTTGATCAATTAGAAAAGTATTAATATATGTATAAGTAGCTGGTGGAGGGTATTTAAGATTCGGCTCAGCCGAATATAGCACTCTAACTTGTTGTATTTCTTATTCGTTTTTATGTAAAAATTAAAAAAATAACTAAATATTAAACAAATACAGAACACTAAATAAAATACAGAACATTTTCACGTTTTTTAGCGAAGAATAATTTATACCGAACAGTACCCCGTTTCTGTAACTTTTAGTGAGAAGTTCTCACATCGAGAAGTGTGAAACAACAAATTCCATCGTTTCTCGATTTGTGAGTAAAAAGTGTTTCAGTAACTTAAAGTGAGAAGAGGCTACAAGAATTACGTTTTTATTGGAAATTTCTAATAAAACAGCTGTCAAAAACATAAAAATTAAAAGAAGAAAACAAAAATTGCCGAACAGCTTTATAAACGAAGAATACTTAAACAAAAAATATAGAAATTAAATGAAAATTGTGCGAAAAATTATCCCACTAAATTCGTCCTTGGCAAATTCTAAGTTTACGCCCACGTACTTTTTTAGCATTTGCTTCTGTATATCCGAAATTCCTGCTATTTTCTAAAAATTAGTGAACAATATTTATTTGAATCTTAATTAATTATATATATAACATTACTTTTTCATTATATCATAGAATTCATGTTTAAATTAAGTTTTTATACCCTCCACCACCATCAGTGGTGATAGAGGGTATATATAACTTTGTCATTCCGTGTGTAACACCAAGAAATATTCATCTGAGACCCAACAAAGTATATATATTCTTGGACCTTATGAAATTCTGAGTCGATTTAGCTATGTCCGTCCGTCTGTCTGTCTGTATAAAACATTCTCACGTTAACACGAAGCAACAAAAATTAACGAAATTCACCCAAAATATTTACTATTGTCCTAGGCAGTTTGGTATTGAAAATAAGCAAAATCGGTTCACACCGGGAAAAGTTATGAATCAAAATTTGAAACAACCTCGAAAAAAATAAGCATTTTTTACACATTCTGATGTAATTTTCTCGAAAACTATGCAAGATAATTCCATGAAAATCACCTTACATTCGTTTCTACACAAGAGCTTGACTCCTGCTGAAAATTGTCAGAATCGGTCAACAATTTCATATACCTCCCATACAAAAGTACATATTTCCGGAAAATGGGTTTTTCGTTAATAACTTCCGTCACAATGTCGCAATCTTTACAAAATTTTACAAATTAAAATCTTATGTGAATAAAATTCATTCAGAGAAAAAAATTTCCGAATCGGTCCATAATTGGACATAGCTCCCATACAAGGTCCCCTCCCGAAAATAACTTAAACGCAAATAATTCATTACTAAATTAAGACATCCATATAAAATTTGGTATAAGTATTGCTCTCACATACAGAAATATTACTGTGAAAGTTTTTTCTGATCGGTCCATAATTGGTCATAGCTCCCATACAAGGTCCCCTCCCGAAAATCACTTAAACGCGCATAACTCACTACTAAATTAAGATATCCATATAAAATTTGGTTCTAGTATTACTCATATGCACAGAAATATTACTGTGCAATTTTTCTCCGAGCGGTCCATAATTGGTCATAGCTCCCACACAAGGTCCCCTCCCAAAAATCACTTAAACGCACATAACTCATTACAAAATTAAGATATCCACATATGCACGAAAATATTACTGTGATTTTTTTCCGATCGGTCCATAATTGGTCATAGCTCCCATACAAGGTCCCCTCCCGAAAATCACTTAAACGCACATAACTCATTACAAAATTAAGATATCCACATATGCACGAAAATATTACTGTGATTTTTTTCCGATCGGTCCATAATTGGTCATAGCTAACATACAAGGTCCCCTCCCGAAAATCACTTAAACGTACATAACTAATTACTAAATTAAGATATTTATATAAAGTTTAGCACAAGCATTGCTCATATGCAGACAAATATTACTGTGAATTTATTTTCCTATCCATAATTGATCATAGCTCCCAAGGTCCCTTTCAGAAAAACACTTAAAGGCACATAACTAGGGTTGCCAGATTCCGATTCGCAAAAAGCTGGACATCGGGTTTTAAAAAGCTGGACAAAACAAAAAAAGCTGGACATAAAAAATACCGAGAAAATGTTAATTTTGGTTTTGTGTAAATAATACACCAAAAAAATGCAGGGGTTCTCATATACCAGTTCCGTTTTTTTATAGTCCATATAGTACGAATACATTTTTAATTTTCCCCGATCACTTCGTTAACTTAGTTTTTAAAAGCAAAAGATGTGAAAAAGCTCCATTTTAGAAGTTTTAAATTTTAAAAATCATCAGCACGTAAGCTGTACGTAAAGAAATTGACTATCGTTCGCAATAATATACGCGCAATAATTTACGCGT